GGCTCCAGGGAACTTCTTCATTCCTGGGGATAAATTCCTGCCATCTCTTCAAATGAGGAGAAACAAAACCAAAACTTAGGCCATTCCTTAGCAACCCTCCATCTAAGCAAGATGTTTGCCACAAGTCAATGGAAGGCCATCCACTACATTTCAGCCAGTCTCCACTAGCTCTTAAGTAATCTCCAGTTGATACTAATATTTACTAAGAGCATTTAAAATAAAAATAAAACAAACCACAGAACACAGAAAACACTGTCAAATCTCAGGCAGTACAGGGTGTAAGTGATGGTTAGTAGATTCACATTCATGCATGGACACACACACTTGACCAGATAGTAACTCATGCTTTTCTGGGCTGCAGGAAATGAGCACGCAGAATCAGCCTTGGACTGTGATGGGTCTGGGCACCTTCCAGCCACTTCCTGGTCTTGCTATGACAACCACTAGTCTGTAGACCAGGGATGTCTACCTCGGCTGTTCTCTAAACTACTTTAATCAAGTATTGGGACTAATCAACACAGAGTCACTTGAATAGCTGTTAAATCTGATAATTTCCAAAATGTGTGTGTTATGGATGTAAGAATCTCAACCACCACTCGTCTCAATCTCTTTCAAGTACACATTCTCACACCTGTAAACTACTCTGCAATATCATACTTTCTCATTTATCGAGTTATAACCTTAAAAAAAAATTCTGACATCTCTCCTAGCTACATATTTTTTTAAATCACAATACATTTTTCAGTTGTTTACAGACTAAAGATCAGTATATTACATCACAGAAGACAAAAGATACAGTCAAAATAACATGTGTCTCCAGTTTCCCAGTTTTCATTAGCAAAATTTTGGTTAAAAAATTAAGAAAAATATTAAATTCAGCCAAATTTCCAGTGAAACAAAAGAGATCAGCTACTTTTGTGATTTAATTATGGTTTCACAGTTAGTAAGATTGTATGAGTGAGGACAGAAATACAGGCAGTCTATTCTGGAAATAAAAGTTGCTGATGGCATTTTGTTCACGATAAACCTAAGTGTCATTGAACACAAGAAAATTTGTTTGTAAATAACCTGAGTAAAGACCCACTCAGTTTCATGATTGTTAAAAAGCCTCAGTATGACACTAGAGACAGAATTAAGGGATTTAAATCTGAGGATTAAGGATTTAGCTATCTGCATAATTTAAATTTCAAACATTTTTCTTTCCCTATTTTTCACTGGCAAAATTAACCTCAACTGTTATTAAATCCTTCTGGATTACCAAAAGCTACTGAACAAACTTTGATGTATGACACACTATGCAGACATTCTATCACAACATATGAATGGGCTTAATACACAGTATTGGGCTTAATATACGGTATTCATTTTCTATTCAAAGATTTGACACAATGGTGGCAGTAAGATAAAATACTTAGTAACAGAAAGCTCAGGAAATGGTGCTTATGTGATAAATGTTCT